GCCCCACAGTGTCCACCCTGGAGAAGACTCTGCCGCAGCTGCTGGCCAAGCTGGATGACCTGGAGAACCGTGGAGGGCACAACGCCAGCCTGGCTCTGTCTGCCAACATCGGCCGCGTGCGGGAGCTCATTGCCCAGGCCCGGGGTGCCGCCAGCAAGGTGGGTGGGAGTCCCAGGACCCGGCGGGTGGCCAGGAGACCAGGTGCTGACCACTGACTTTCCCGTTCCCACAGGTCAAGGTGCCCATGAAGTTCAATGGGCGCTCTTGGGTGCAACTGCGTGCCCCGCGGGACCTTGCTGACCTCGCCGCCTACACTGCGCTCAAGTTCTACCTGCAGGACTCGGAGCCAGCACCGCCGCCCGGGCAGGATGCTGGGGACCACTTTGTGTTGTACATGGGCAGCCGCCAGGTACTGGGCAGGGGAGAGGGGGAGAGACTGGGCTGGGCATCAGGTTGGCAGTAGGCAGAGCATGGTCCCTGCCCCAACTGTCCTTCCACTGCCACCGCAGGCCACTGGAGACTACATGGGCGTGTCCCTGCGCAACCAGAAGGTGCACTGGGTGTACCGGCTGGGGGAGGCCGGGCCTGCCACCCTCAGCGTGGAGCAGAGCATCGGGGAGCAGTTCGCAGCTGTCAGCATGGACAGGTGGGAGGCCCGCAGCGGGGCCAGGACCTCCACTGCCGTGCAGGCCCATTCTCACACTCACCTCTGTCCTCAGGACCCTCCAGTTTGGCCACATGTCTGTCACGGTGGAAAACCAGATGGTCCACGAGACCAAGGGGGACACCGAGGCCCCTGGGGCAGAAGGTCTGCTCAGCCTTCGGCCTGATGACTTTGTCTTCTATGTGGGAGGGTACCCCAGCAATTTCACGGTAAGCCCGGCCCAGGCTCCGGGAGCACGCCAGCAGCTCTTGCTTTTCCTGCCCTGGGAAGTTCTTCTCAGTGTTTAGCCTCAATTCATCATACTGTAGTCTGAGTTCCCGTCAGGGAGTGTCACTGACTGTGTGCTGTGCCTACAGCCCCCTGCACCTCTCCGCTTCCCTGGTTACCGGGGCTGCATTGAGATGGACACTCTAAACGAGGAGGTGATCAGTCTCTATAACTTCGAGAGGACCTTTTTGCTCAACACAGCCGTGGACAAGCCGTGCGCCCGGTATGTGGGGCCTGGTCTCACCTGCCCGACCCCCCACCACCCTCCACTGACCCGGCCCTCTGACCTGCAGCTCCAAGTCGACTGGGGACCCGTGGCTCACAGACGGCTCCTACCTGGACGGCACGGGCTTCGCCCGCATCGGCTTCGAGAGGCAGCCAAGCAGCACAAAGCGCTTTGAACAGGAGCTTCGCCTCGTGTCCCACAGTGGGATCATCTTCTTCCTGGAGCACCAGGCACGGCCCAGCCCCAGCCCTGCCCCAGCCCGGCCCCCCTGCCTCTGTGCTGACCCTCCCTCTACCTCCAGGGCCAGTTCCTGTGCCTGGCCGTGCGCGAAGGCAGCCTTGTGCTCCTCTTCGACTTCGGCGCTGGGTTGAAGGAGGCCATCCCGCTGCAGCCCCCGCCTCCACTGACTGCGGCCAGCAAGGCGGTAAGGCTAGCTGGGCAGTAAGGCCAGCGCAGGGGGGACAGGTGGGCTGGTGAGGACCTGCTCACAGCCACTGCCCCTCCAGATCCAGGTGTTCCTGCTGGCCGGCAGCCGCAAGCGCGTGCTGGTGCGCGTGGAGAGGGCCACGGTGTTCAGCGTGGACCAGGACAACGTCCTGGAGCTGGCCGACGCCTACTACCTGGGTGGGGTGCCTCCAGAGCAGCTGCCCCCGAGGTGACCATGGCGCTGGGCTGGGGCTGGAGGGAGGGGCGGCCCCCGCAGCCCGAGGTGCCTGACCCTGCCGTCCCACAGCCTGCTCGGGCTCTTCCCCTCCGGAGGCTCCATCCGCGGCTGCGTCAAGGGCATCAAGGCCCTGGGCAAGTACGTGGACCTCAAGAGGCTCAACACCTCGGGCATCAGCTTCGGCTGCACCGCGGACCTGCTGGTGAGCACCTGCCCTGGGCGGGCAGCCTGGTTCCAGGCCTGGCGGACACTCAGCAAGCCCTCCACAGGTGGGACGCGCGGTTGCACTGCACGGCCACGGCTTCCTGCCCCTGGCCCTCCCGGCCGTGGTGCCCCTCACCAGCGAGGACTTCTACTCTGGCTTTGGCTTCCGCAGCGCCCAGGACGACGGCCTGCTCTACTACCACACGTCCCCGGTGAGCTCGCCCGGGCCCACTGCTGCTCCCACCTGCTGTGGGGACTGGCGGGTTGGGAGTGGCTGGGTCTGGGCACGTGGCCTGCTGGCTCACCTGGCCACTGTCTGCAGGACGGGTCCTGCCAGGTGTCCTTGCAGCAGGGCCACATGGTCCTTCAGCTTCTGAGAACAGAGGTGAAGACGGTCGGGGTCTTTGCTGATGGAGCCAGCCACTACGTCACCTTCTACCACAACGGCACAGAGTGAGCCCGCCTGCCGCGCCTCTGCCTCCGCGGGTCTGGGCCAGGCCAGGGGGGCGGACATGCCTGGACACCCCACACTCTCTCCCAGGCTTATGGTCTACGTGGATGACCAGCTGCAGCCGACGATGACGCACCAGGGACCCAGGCTCCCCACGCCCGAGGGCCCCCCGCAGCTCTTCCTGGGAGGCCAGCCTGAGTCTGGTATCTTGCCCAACTTCAGTGGCTGCATCAGCAACGTTTTTGTTAAGCGGTGAGCACGTGGGGCATGTGGGGCGTGGGCCGTGGGGTGTGAGCCGCTGGGCCGCCTCCGCTGCTGACGCACCTGCCCCACAGGCTCCAGGGGCCGCAGCGCGTGCTCGACTTGCAGCAGAACCTGGGTGGTGTCAACGTGAGCACGGGCTGTCCGCCAGCCTCCCCACGCACCCAGATCCTGGGGCAGGGACCACGAGGAATGCGGGCCGCGGTGCGGAAGGTGGGGTGTCCAGGGTGGCATGCGGGCAGAGCTGGGGTGGGTGGGCTGGTGGCCCAGGCAGGTTGCCCTGCATCCCTGTCCATGTCCCCAGGCCTCCCACCCCAGCCATCGGCCCAGCCAGGGATCTGCCTGCATGCCACCCCTGCGTCTCCGAACCATCCAAGATGCCTACCAGTTTGGGGGCCCCCTGCCTAGTCACCTGGAGTTTGCGAGTGTCCTGGTCCCCCAGAGGTAAGGGCTGGCCAGTCTGGGTGGGTGCGAGGGGCTGCCAAAGCAAGGCTGACCCCGGCTGGGCTTTCAGGTCCCACATCTCGATGCTCGTCCGCCTTGACGCCCCCCGGGGCCTCCTGCTCTTTGCTGCCCCCTTGACGGCTAGCAGCCCTTCCCTGGCGCTCTTCCTGAGCCACGGACACTTGGTCGCACAAACAGAAGGCCCTGGGCTCCAGCTCCACGTCCAAAGCCGCCAGCGTTTGCGGGCAGGCCGGTGGCACACGGTGAGGGAGTCTGAGAGGAGGGGCTTGGGAGGGCCCAGGAGCACCCCTGACCAGCTCTGCCTCTCCAGGTGTCTGTGCGCTGGGAGGCGAGTCGGATCCGGTTGCTGGTGGACGGGACCCGGGCCAGGAGCCAGAAGGGACGCCCCCAGAGGGTGACAGCCCCCTGGTCACACACCCTCTTTGTGGGGGGCCTCCCAGTTGGCAGACACAGCCCCAAGCTCCCGGTGAGAACTTTTGCCCTCACCCTGTCCAGGCCTCACCCAGCTGCTGTCCCCTACTGTCCCCTGCTCTCAGGTGCCTGCTGACCCCAGCCGCCTTCTCTTCACAGGTGGCCACCGGGCTCAGTGGCTGTGTGAAAGGACTGCAGCTGAATGGGAAGCCCCTGGGGAACCCCACACAGATAGTGGGGGTCACACCCTGCCCCTCAGGCCCCCTGCAGGACGGCCTCTTCTTCCCGGGTGGTGGAGTCCTCACTCTAGGTTTGTGGGGACGGGAAGGCCCCGGCGGTGCTGGGAGGCTCTGGGCGGGCCCTCCTCTCCCACTGCGGCCTTCCTACAGACCTCCCGGAGGCCACCCTGCCCGACGTGAGTCTGGAGCTGGAGGTGCGGCCCCTGGCAGCCACTGGCCTGGTCTTCCACCTGGGTCGCACCCAGGATGCCCCCTACCTGCAGCTACAGTTGTCCAAGGAGCAGGTGAGCAGGGCTGCTTTAGAGCTACAGTGACACTCGGGGACTGGGGTGGCAGCCCCTGACCTGTCCCTGACCCCAGGTCCTGCTGCGGGCAGACGACGGGGCAGGCGAGTTTGCCACGTGGGTGACACACCCCACTGTACTGTGTGACGGGAAGTGGCACCGACTGGCAGGTGAGTTGGCTCCTTCATGGCCAGGGAGCTGGGGTGGACTCAACAGGGGCAGCTGGAGAGCCTGTGCCTCAGCTGGCACTGAAGGGAGGGCAGGGCGGTACACGGCACTCAAAAGCTGGCCCTGCAGCCATCAAGGGCGGGAGCATGATCCGGCTGGAGGTGGACACACACAGCAACCACACGGTGGGCCCCTCGCCGGGCACCCTGGCTGATGCCCCAGCACCCCTGCACCTTGGAGGCCTGCCTGGTGAGTGTGGCCTCAGCCAAGTGGGGGGACCTCCCTGCTGGGGCAGAGGTGAGTGGGCGGGCAACCACGGGACTTCCTGCCACCCCAACCAGCCCTCCTCGCCCTTCTGCACCCTCCCCAGAGCCCACAGCGACAGCGCCTGGACGCCCCACCTTTCAGGGATGCATGAGGAAGCTGATGGTGAACGGGCTCCCCACTGCTGGAACTCGCTCTGTGGGGGTCCAGGGGGCCGTGGGGGGCAGGGGCTGCCCTGCCTGGTAGTGCAGACCTCCCCCCAGGCTGTTCCTGCTGCCCAGACCCCCTGCCCATGCCTAGTGGTGTGAGTCTGTGAACTACTGTCCCTCTTAAAAGCAAAAATTAAACGTCGTTAGCTCAAAACTGAAACTGGAGTGATGCGTGTCCTGTAGGCAGAACATGGCGGGTCTCCCCGGGCACAGAGACCAGAGGTGGCAGGTAAAAGAAAGGACCTTTATTTATCAGTAAGTCTGAAGGGAGGAGCGTTGGTTGCGCAGGATCCCAACCGCCACCAAGGAGCAGGAGCGCGCGGTTGCACGCCGACCCTGCGCCCCACCCGTAACTTAGTCTAGACTCATGTCCTCCTCCTCGTCCTTCTTGTCCTTGGCGTCGCCCTCCTTCGGCTCTGATTTGGCGCTGTTCTGCATGGCTTTGGCAAAGGCTTCCACATCTGAAACGCATTTCAACAGGCCACTGACCCTCCCCAGGTCTGCCGCCCAAAGGGACAGAGGTGAAGGAGGAGAGGCACTCACCACCCTTGTTGGCGGCCTCCACGGCCTCTGCTGGAAGGCCGAACTGGCACATGAGGGGCCCCAGCTGCCCCGAGGCCAAGGCTGCGCTGAACATGCCCAGGGCCTGCAAGGAGAGTCCAAGCTGAGTGGGGGATCGGGGCTGCGCCCCCAGCAAGGCCTCGGGGCCACCTCACTGGCTGCTAGCTCTGTGGGTACCCTCCTCGGGGCCCAGGGCCTGGCCTGTCTACCTGCTGGAACTGGGGCGAGGTCAGTGTGTTCTGGATCTCCTCTGCAGTCTGGGGCAGCGACTCCCCCGAGGGCAGGTACGGCAGCAGGCGCTCCTGGACGTCCGCGTTGGCGAGGATGGGTGCCATGATCTCTGGCGTCAGCACGCTGGCCAGGTCCACTAGGGCACAAACGCACAGCCCTCAGTGGCCTGGTGCTGGCTTGGGCACCCACGGCGGGCAGCAGGGGGCAGGAGAGCTGAGACTCCTCTCCAGGGCCCAGGCCTCAGCTCCGCCCCACACTGCCCTAAGGCAGAGGGGCTCCTGTGGCCTTACCTTGCTGGCTGCCCCCTGGCCCCGCCGGCACGCTCATGGTAGCTAGGATACTCTGGAGGTCGCTCAACTGGATGGGCTGGGCGGGGCTGGCTGCCGCGCTGGTCCCAGTACCTGAGCTGGGTGCAGGGCTGGGGCTGGTCGCTGCGGCGGCGGCTGGGGCAGAAGGGGCTGGGGTGGCTCGGGTGGAAGAGGTGGTGGAGGACGGGGTGACTGCTGCTGACTGGCTCCGGGAGCTGGGAAGAGCGAGCGCTGTGCTGGAGCAGCGAAGCCTGGGGCACCATCCCTGGCCATGCCCATCTGTCCACCCCATCATTACTAATGGCAACTGCACAGCGGGCAGGGTGCTCCAGGCTCACCTGGACGAAGAGCTGCTCGCAGGAGGCCCACCACTGCCCAGTAAGCTGGCCAGGCCCGGCCCAGTCAGAGCCCCAAGCCCACCTACAGGAGCAAGGAGACGTGTGCTCAGAACTCCCCTGACCCCAACCCACCTACAACAGAAAGGGAGGTCAGAGCCAGCACTTCCCCAAGTCTAGCAGGTCAGGCTCCCAAGTAGCCAGCTGGGGTCCTCCCTGGTGGCCTGGAGGGCCTCGCCCCCCCCAGCCCCCCACCCGCCAAGGTAAACAGGCCCTGCCCGGGAGGAGCTGGGCAGAGAGCGGGGCCTCACCCAGTCCTCCGAGGCCGGCTGGTCCGATGAGCTGCATGAGCTGGCTGTGACTCATGTTCCCCAGCAGGCTCTGTAGGCCACCCTCACCTGGAAAACACAGGGCTCAGACGCGGGGCCTCCTGTGGCTCTGTCCCAGGCCCGCCTGGCACCGTGACGCCAGGGGAAGTCCCGAGCCCAGCTTCTCCTGGAGACTTAAGAACAGCATGCTAACTCAGAACTCCTGGCCTGCTCGGGTGGCATGGCGACCTTACCGCCCAGTGCGGAGAGCTCGTGGCCCCCACTCCCACTCGCGCCCAGCGCCCCGGGCATCGGGGGGTTGTTCAGGTACTCGTTGACTTTCCGGCAGTGCTCCTCGTCCTGGTCGGTCTTGGGCTCCTGTGGGGAGACCACGCAGCGCCGCTGAGCCACCCAGGAGGCGCTGCCGTGCTGCCTGCTGGACCCTGCACAGCAGCAGCCCTCGGCCCCAGCGTAGGAGACGGCATCCCCAGAGTGGCAGCAGGGTCTCAGCACTCTGCCACCTGCCACTGACTGCTGAGCTGGAGGTGCCACTTCACAAGGGACACCACAGCTCGGACAGCACTTAGCACCAACACAGCCGCGCCCTCAGCTGGGACTCCTCATGGTCTCCTCCCCTCCAGCTGGGCCTTCCCAGCCCCCAGCCTTGCCCACCAAGGGAGCTGGGAGAGGGGCCCAGGGTGTCTCCAAGCACCTACTACAGACCTTGCCAGGCACAGGGGACCCAGGTACTGCCCTGGAGGCACAGGGCAAGACGTACCAAATGAGTCAAGTCAAGAATAAAGGCAGTGACGGAGGGGCGGGGCAGGGCTCCGGAGTAGCGCTCCCTGGCACGCGCGAGGCCCTGGGTTCCTGGGTTCCGTCCTCAGCACCAACCACAGGAAAATAAATGAATACAAACCTTGTATCCAACCCACTAAAAAGGGACAGAAACCTGGCAGGACTCTGGGTCAGTCTGCACCAGCATGGGAGCCCCACTCACCGTCCCCGCTGGCCCCCAGCATAGCTGAGCAGTGGAAGGCCCCTGTCAACTGCAGCCACAGCTGCTGCTCTCTGGACAGTGCTGGGAGGGCACAGCCCACAGTCTGCAAACGGACATGGCCACCTATGTCTGTCCAAAAAGGGGGCATGCAGACCCTTCCCATGCCCGACCCAGGGAACAGACCCACAGGCCCACGACGACGCCAGGTCCAGGTCACCCCGTGCAACTCTGCCTGCAGGAGCTCAGGACAGGGACCTGCACCAGGGCCACCTACAGTGGCAGAGCCAGCAGTGGCTCCCCGACTGGATGGGCACAGGAGGCCGCGGGAGGATGTCCCTCTCCAGCAGCAGCAGGGGGCTGTGTGGGGCCTGCTGGCCCTGCATGCCAGCCCATCCTGGGCAAGCTGGCAAGATCCTGCCTCAAAATAAAAGCGAAAGGGTGGGCACGGCCAGAGTGCAGCCTGTCAAGATGCCTCAGGGAGCCAAGGTCCTGCTGGTCTGCCCAGCCATGTGCCTCAGGGCTGAGAGACCCCTCACTGTCCCCACACGCTGAACCAAGCTTCACCCAGACTGCCAGCGCAGTACCAGGCAGACGCGGGCAGCGTCTAACCTGACCAGTGCCACCTGACCACCACCACAGAGCAGGCAGGACACAAGCCCTCCCGAGTACCTGCATCCAGAAGAAGAGCCGCTTGGACCCAGCCTTGAACTTGAGCACGTAGACCCTCCCGCTGGGGCACTGAGGCACGCGCTTGAACTCACAGTCGTCAGGGAAGATAATCAAGTCCTGGCGACCACAAGGAGGCCAGGGAGTCACACCTGCCCTGCCAAGGCCCAGCCTCTCAAGAATCCCTCACCCCAAGAGGGCGGGCCTCTCCAAGCCCCTCACCAGCAGGTCTCTGCGGGTGCATGAGCCAGGGTCAGGGTGAAGGGCAGGGTGCTAAGGGCCAGGCGGAACAAGGCCTCCAGATCCTGAAGGACACTGGGACAAGAGGTGACTGGCTGGCTCTGATTGTAACAAAGAGCAGCCTGGTGTGAAGACAAAGCTCCCTACAGAGAGCCCTCCTGTCCGTCCACAGTGCCAGGCAGCTGACCTTAACGTTCAAAGCCAGGGACTGGGTCACCAGTGACCAGGGTCAAAGCCAGGGATGTGTCACCAGTGACCAGGGTCGCTGAGGCACATGACCCTACGTGGTGTGGCTGGAAGCAGCACCAGACAGCAAACCCCAGCAGGTCCCTCCAAACCCGTGTGTGCCCAGGGGACCCCCACTACCATCCAACTGCCTCGGCCTCGGGCAGCTCAGGCGGCACTTACATCTTCCACGGTCCCAGATGTCCTGTCCTTCCAGCAGAAGTGAATGAGAGAGTCGTCTGTCTGCTGGATGTACACGAGCCCTTTCCGCTTGTCCGGAGTGACAGTAGTGCCTTTCAATGACATTTTCCCTGCCCGAAACTCCACCAGATACTTATTGGAGGACCCCCGAGAGCCTGGCACCAGGCTTGGGAACAGCGCGCCTGAAGTCGTCATCCTGAAAAGCAAAGACGGGCACGAGGCCCAGCGAGCTGCGGGCGGGCACGATCCCGAAAAGCTAGCCGCCGCCCCCCGCCCCAGTGTCGGCCAGCCCTACGGCGCCCGGCCAACGGGCCAAGACCCAGGCCGGGCCTGTGGCTTCTCGGCTTCTCAAGTGCACCCAAGCCGCGCCGCCCCTTCAGCCCGCGCGCCCCGCGACGTCACCGCCCGCACTCGCGGGCCTCG